AGAGAGAGAGAGAGGTGGGATAACAGTCAACACACACGCCCATTTCCCCCATTCAACACTACAATGTAGGCCGCCGGATGATATCTATCAATCTGGATTACCCTCATCATGGAGAGTGGCAGGGGCATTTTCATCCTCTTTTTAGTGTATATTTTTAAACTATTTTTTTCATGTGCGAATGCTTTCCTCTCCACAAAATTTCAGGTCAAACCAATTTATAAAAAATATTAAAAATGAAACAGCAATGATACATGCTGATGATGCAGGCCGTTGGATGTGATCCAATTGGATGTGTGTGTGTGTGCGTGTGTGTGTGTGTATTGTGCACGTGTTTGTGGGTGTGCACGAATGTGTCTTACCTGGCTACAATGCAAATACATTGGATGGTAAGGAAGCAGCAATATGCATAACTTGCTCATACCAAGTTAAGAGAACTTAAATATGATTATTAGAATTAAGAAATACTATGGCAAAGAAAATCCACACATGCATATGCATAGAAAAATATATAAATAAGAACACTCTGTAAATGAGGACACATGCATACACCTAGAAAGAAAAGACTCCACTTACCCACAAAAAATAAAAATATAAAAAGGATAAGATAACCTTAGTCATTGGAAGATAGATAATACCCCATGTTGGCAGCCTTTCATTTAGAAACTAATTGATTGCTATACTCTCTCTCTCTCTTTTCTTTTTTGAAAATTCATTGCTCGACTCCCTCTTAAAGCTGATTATGGATAATCATCACTATCTTTACCTTACAAATCCCAATCAACCTTCCAACCAACCCTCATCATTTATACTAGTCAGTTTAACAACATCTTATTCAAAATCAATTTAGAGATCAGAAAATAATATGGAAAGCTAACGATATTAATTTCTGCCATACGCAAAAGTACAAGTCAGCTTCTGCTTTGAAACAAATTGCTAGAATAACAGCATGGGTTGCATCAATCTGTAGAACTCCTAATTAGCCTCATCAAACATCCTAAAAAAATACAAGAACGTATTGGGCACCATATAATACAATCTCTTCCGTTTCATAAACAGAGTTTCTTACTACCAATAAAATAAAAGAAAAATCATCTTAATAAAATTTTCTAGAACTATGCCCCTTAATAAACATCATGAACATTGAATGGCAATGCAGTCCAGAGCAATTTGGTTCTTTGGGAAATAGCACAAGGTGCTGCAATAATTAACTCTAAGAGATGTGATGGTCATTTTCAAGCCAGTGGAAAATTTTATGATAACTTAATCTGTTGGTTAACATGGGTATCGCCTTTCAGCTGTGCAAAGTCAACCCCAAAAATTCAACATATTTAATATTGCAAATAATATAGCAGTAGAAACTGTAGCTCCCAATTTCCAACAATCTCAAACCTAGACATAACTAATAGTGCATGATATCATAACACATAGGATCCTTTCCTCTACTTGGCAAGAAAGACTTCAATTTCATAAATTTGTCTATTGGACTGGGATTTCTCGGAACAACATTCCTCAAACTTAAAAACCCAAATACATGCCTTATGATCATCATCTTGGATAAAAGCAGATACAAAAGGCACCATTTAATTTTCCAGGCTAAACTGCAATATGGGCCCTATTTGAAAATTTATCATCTGTAATTTCACCTAAAGGGTGTCCAATTTTCAAGTTTGAAATGATTAACAATCAATTGCAACTGAGCTCCCAGATTAAACTTTTCTTAAGACCACTACAAGCTGTTTTCCAAAAGATTCACATTGGCTCTCTTTCTCTACCTGTCACCATACCATCATCGCCATTGCACCACCACCACTCCACCACACGCTCTACATACACACATCCTAGCCACTACAATTACCCCATCTTACTACATGATGACAACAGAGACTACCACCACCAACAACAACAATCCACTACTATGACCACCAACACCAATACCCTCATACCACTACCACCACAACCACCGTCATCACACCGCTACCACCACATACAGTAACACCTTTTTCACCAGCTCAACCACAACCACCACCACCACCATCATCACACCACACAATAAAATATTATAATAAAAAATGGAACAATCAAGCATTGCTAGATAGAAGGAAAGGGGCTGGGTAGTGGTAGTACAACCACCATCACACCGCACAATAAAATATTATAATAAAAATTGGAACAATCAAGCATTGCTAGAGAGAAGGAAAGGGGATGGGTAGTGGTGGTACCACCCCCATACCTAGTTGCCACGTTGTGGTTTCGAATCTTGCGGACACCACCCACTGACACCTTCAAAAAAATTAACTCCCTAATCTACGTGGAGACAACAGGTAGGGCCTGTCTTCCCCATTGAATAACCCAAAAAAAAAAAAGCATTGCTAGAGAGCATATGATAATTGACCAATTTTTCATTTAGTCCATTACAAATTGCAAAAAAAAAAAAAAACACTGACGAAAAATTGAAATCAAACAGTGCCTAAGTTGGCTAGGCAAGAGCACTAAGCAATAAAAATGTGCATAAACATAGAATAACAAAGAATAAAATACAAAAACTGAGAGGTAATTAACTTGATTGGAAAGAAGTAAATAACTCTAGCTAGCTAATTCTCCAAGTCAACTTGCTGAGTCCATTAATTAATTCTAAACTTGGGAGTTTTCGTATGAAGACTTGTAATGAGAAGCAAATCCAGTTTGGAATCTATAAAGCCATATTGCCGGGAGAGACCATGTAATCGTAAGATCAACATAAGATCTACATATAAGCAAAAGCTAGGGCAGATCCCGAGTTTTTTATTTATAAAACTTGCCCACTTGACAGGACAAGTTCCCTTGGGTTAGTTTTTCTTATTTGCTGATGAGAATGTTAACTACTCCTATTTGGAAATTAGAAAGTTCCAGATGTTAATCTTCTTACTTGGAGATTCAAATAATATATTTTCATAGAAAAAATCGTTGCATCCAAACCCCCATGAAGAATTGAGATGGAAATGTGTTTACCAGTTGATGCAGAAATCGAAAATGTCGCCTGCTTGCCCCTTTCCACTGGATCTGGGTCCACCTCCATTCCACTCACCTTAACCAAATAATTTCCCTTCTTATCTGCAAATTAACATCCAAAATAACAAAAAGATAAACTAGGTCAAACAGAATTTAACACACTGACAATAAAGAATATTGAACTTTGTTGCATTTTAACCACAGAAGTTAACCCCAATCATCAAAAAATTCCATATCAATATGATCGGAGCAGACTCACAATTAGTTGATCCAAAAGTGAGTAAAAGAAATAGAATAGTTCCATACATCAAACTTTCAAAAAAATAAAAGTTCAATACATTAAGTGTCAAATTCCCAGCCTGCACCTAATTCTTCAGTAACAAAACCCTAGAGAGAGATTGTAACCAGGGATGTATAATTCACCACAGTATTCGACTTCTTTTGCTTGGACAATAGGAAGGATGAAAAGTGCCATCAGAGGAAGGACAAATCTAAGCGAAGCTTTCGCCATGAAACCTGAAACAATAATAATAGCGATAATATTATTACATAGGAGCAAAAACACAGACAGAAATCACAAAACAATGAATATCGTTGTAAGTATCACTGAGCTCCAAATCCGAAGAAGCGTATAATGAAAGAATAGGACTTCATACCTGGAGGAGGGCTATCCTTTGCTGCAACGCAGAGAGCGAGAGAGAGAGAGAGAGAGAGAGAGAGAGAGAGAGAGAGAGAGAAGGAAGGAGGAGTAGTGTCGTCGTAGTAGTAGGTAAGGTAATAGTCCGTCCCTTCGTTGGTTAAGTTAAAAGTAAAAGTAAGTAG